ACTTTTGGAGCTAGGTGTGGTTTTGCACAAGTATGACCTGAGCCTCAAGATCCCGAGACAAGAGGATTTCCAGTTTGAATGTGGGTGGGGCTGCATAGCCAGACCTATCGTTACTGTCTCCCGAGAGACCTCTTTTTAATTTCATTACATTGACTTATTAGGAGGGAGTGCCACAGCTCAGGTATGGAGGTCAGAAGACAGCCTGCAAAAGTCGGTTCCCTCCCCTGACCATACTGGGGTTGAGCTCATGTTGGGCCTCGAGTGCCTTTACTCTTTCGCCATTGTGCTGGCCAGTTTTATGCCAACTTGACACAAGCTGTCTCCAGAGAGGGGGGAGTTCAACTGAGAAAATGCCTCCATAAGATGGGGCTACAGGTAAGCCATAGGGCATTTTCTTAGTGACTGGTGTGGGAGGGTCCAGCTCATTGTGGGTGGAGCCACTCCTGCTCTGGTGGTCCTGGGTTCTGTAAGAAAGGTTGAGTAAGCCCTGAGGACCAAGCCAGTGAGCTGCACCTCTCCATGGCCTCTGCATCAGCTCCTGCCTCCAGAATCCTGCCAGTTTGAGTTCCTGCCTTAGTTTCTTTCCTTCCCAAGTTGTTTGTGGTCATGATGTTTCATGATAGCATGCCTCCCGCCCTCAATTCTTAAAGATGATATTTTTTAGATCTTTGGATTACTGTTGTTGTTTATTTGTCTTGTTTTCTTTGTCTATGTGGTCTGGAGATTGAACCCAGGGTCTCGTACATACTGAACACACATGTGATAACACAGACATATTTATAAGTGTGTTTTCCTTCCTTCCTTCCTTCCTTCCTTCCCCCTTCTTTCTACCTGTCTTTTTTCTTTTATGTTCTTTCTTCTTCTTTTTTTGATATAAAGTCTTACCATGAATCAAGCTACACTGGCTCAAACTCACTAGGTAGCCCAGGCTGGCCTCCAACTGGATATCCTCCTGCCTCAGCCTTTCAAGTGCTGAGATTATAGGCTTGAGCAGCCATACCAGGCTTCTTAGTGACCCATGTATCTCTCTTGTTTATTCAGAAAAATAGAAGCACTAGGCTGGGAGTTGGTGGAATGATTGTCTAGCTGAAGGCACTGGGTTCCATCCCCAGCACTGCATAAAACAGATGTGGTGGCGCACATCTGTGGGAACACCAGACCTTGAGCAGAGACCCACTTCCCCTTCTGCCTGGGAGTAGGCAGCTGTAAGACAATGTTTAGTAAAAACATGTTTACTAAAAACGATACAATAAGTTCCTGGCCACTTCCCCTTCTGCCTGGGAGTAGGCAGCTGTAAGACAATGTTTAGTAAAAACATGTTTACTAAAAATGATACAATAAGTTCCTGGGAAAGGCCTTCCCACGGAAACCGCCCTGACCTCGACCTTGTCCAGAGACTAACCGCACCTTCAAAAACCCACACACATCCACCTCTGGGGTCAGAGCAGAACCAGCCAGGGGAGAGGAGAGAGCAGAGGCTTCTCTGGTGGGAGCCTTTCTTAGGAAGTTTTTCTTGACCCTTTTTGGAGCCTGTTTAAAGTTCTCTTTATATCATTGAACGAGTCTCTGTGTTATCAATACCCGACACCCTCCGCACGTTCTCGGACACAGGCCGCGCAGCAGACGTGACAATTGGAGGTCCCACTGAGATTGTGAAAGCGAGGTAAGTGGACGGGGTCGTCCCTTTTGCCAGCCAGGGACAGATGGGGGAAAATAGGAAAAAATGATGGGAAATAGTCCCTGGAAGTTTAAATTACAGTATCACATAAAAAAGTTACTTGGAGAACAGGGGACTATAACCATGGAAGGCTTTCTAAAATGGATTGAACGTGCAAGTCCATGGTTCATTATTGGGGGAGGCTTAAATGTCCCAGATTGGGAGGATGTTTGCCATGATTTTCAGAGAGCCGGTTGTGGTGGCACACGCAGGTAGGATTTGCTGAAGGAGGCAGAGGCAGGAGGATCACGAGTTAAAAAAAGAAAAAAAAAGGGGTAAAATAAAAAATAAAATAAAAAATCTCCAGTCTTTCGCCTGATCCACTGGGGTCAGGAAAGTAAAGGGGAACTGAGAGATCTAAAAGGCTGGCCAGTAAGGCTATGTGGATGTGTTACAAAGGGGTCCCAAGCTAGGGGTACCGGATTAAATCTCCAGGCCTTCGCCTGACCAAGGTCAGGAAAGTAAGGGGACCCTGAGAGATCACCCTAGGTTGGAGGGTGGATTGGATTAAATCTCCAGGCCTTCGCCTGACACCAAGGTCAGGAAAGAAAGGGGAACCTGAGAGATCACCCTAAGTTAGAGGGTGGATTGGATTAAATCTCCAGGCCTTCGCCTGACACCAAGGTCAGGAAAGTAAGGGGACCCTGAGAGATCGCCCTCAGTTGAGGGGGTGGATTGGATTAAATCTCCAGGCCTTCGCCTGACACCAAGGTCAGGAAAGAAAGGGGAACCTGAGAGATCACCCTCAGTTGGAGGATGGATTAAAAGTGGGTGAATTGAAAATTGGTAACGGTTAATAAAGGAGGTACTAGTATTAAGTAAAAGAAAAAGACAAAGGTATATGGAATGGAAATTTTTGTTTACATTTAAGTTCTATTTTGTGAGTCATCTCTAAAAACTTTTGGCCAAAAGCCTGGCCTCTCCACCTTGCATCTACAGAGTTACAAGGAGTAGGTACAGCTGTACCCCATGACTGTAGCTCAAATGGAGGAATGATAAAGAACATACAGGACTTTTTAACCCTTTTAGTTCAAGGATTGGCTGGAGTTGTTCTTTTACATAGATTTCAATTAAGGGAGCTTCATTGCAACAGACTAATCATGACCTAGGGAAAAAGGATGACTGAAAGATGCATGTATGTTCTGAATGTATGGTGTGGCCACACCGGTATGTATGAAATGTGATTGTGAATGCGTGAGTGTGAACTGCTTATATGATTAAAAGGATACTTAAATCCCTTCAAAAATAGTTAAGAAGCTACCTAGATTGCGTTAAATATAGCCAAAAGGAACATCCAGCCAGTCTGTTAATGTTTTAACAGAAAAATTTAAGATACAAATGAGGCCTTGTCAGCTAGTGAGAGTTCTACAGGTTAGATTGGGAAAGACTGCTCACAGACTTCAAATAATTTTCAAAAGTTATTTAGTAAGCCCAATTTACCTAGATAGTTAACCAAGGAGGGTAGACAAATCCTTCTACTGTTATGGTCCAGCTTCAACAGTTCAAAAAAGAAAACTTTTTAGAAAATAAAAAAGGGGAATAATGCCCCCAGTCCCCACATGACTCATCAAATAATACACTCCTCATTTAAAAATTTTATAATGTGAATGCCAGTGAGCTTCAGACAGATTCTGGCATGATGGAACTTGAGCAACCATTGCTCAGGTCAAATGGAGACATCCATGCACTAGACAGTGGAGAAGACCCTAATTTGGGGTCGAGGGCATGTTTGTGTTTTCTTGTAGGAAAAGAATAAAGCTTCGGCAGCTGTCAGACCAATTAGTGAGATGCATGGAGCAGAGAAAAACTGGACCTGAGACCATGGGAGCCTACCTAAGCCAGTTTGAGTGAGATCTCCTAAATCAGTGTTCCTGACCCTTGATGTCATCGAATCTACAGCCCAAGAAAGAAAGAAAACAGTCAGTTCGAGATTTCCAGTTTCTCAACAGACCTGCTGCATTAACCTTCCGGACCCGTGAGTTTTCATCCCGAAGCCAACAAAGAACTGGAAAGACTAACTGTCTGCCCTTGACACACCTTGAAACAACAGAATTCATTTTGCCAGTTTTCCCTTTAGGGGAAAAAAGGACCCATTTAAAATATTTGGACATTGATATGGACTATGAGTGGCAAAAGCCTCTTTTCAGTATTTGAACAGGACATGGTCACTTGAAATACCAGACTTGATGGTTCCTGTTTCTGGAATCACGACTAGGCCAGTGTATTTTTCTGGAGAAATGCAACTTGTCCTAATGTGACAACTATTGTTCATATTTTTCGTAATGCTACATGTGTAACATCAATGATTGTACCTAATGTATCTGTGCAAGTGTACTTTCTAAATGCTTTCCTGAGCAGGTCTTGAAACGATTGGAAACTTTATCAAATTGTAAATGTAAATCACATGCGGGTTACCCTTGTAACAGATGAAGGCTGGTAGAATGTTATGGCCCAGATCTGGTGATGGGTATGGTGATGGAGAGGCGCTATGTCAATGGGGGTCCTGGAAATGGTGGCAGTGGTGGTAGGCATTCTGGCTTTATGCCAAGCTCAAACGTGCCTTGTTCCAGAGACAAGAGATCCGTAACCAAGTATTGCTTAGCTTAGCCCATGGCAATCCCGATAGCCATGAAGGTTGGTTACAGATGATTTAAGGTTGGGGTATCTCCGATGACGGGCAACCTGTGGGGAAGACCCCTCCCACCTAAAACAGGGGTTCAAGGTCCCCCAAAGACGGGAAAGGGAGGGTGACCCTACTTGACCTAAGCCAGGAGTGCCTCATTTGAAAATAAAAAGGGGTGAATTGTGGGAACACCAGACCTTGAGCAGAGACCCACTTCCCCTTCTGCCTGGGAGTAGGCAGCTGTAAGACAATGTTTAGTAAAAACATGTTTACTAAAAACGATACAATAAGTTCCTGGCCACTTCCCCTTCTGCCTGGGAGTAGGCAGCTGTAAGACAATGTTTAGTAAAAACATGTTTACTAAAAATGATACAATAAGTTCCTGGGAAAGGCCTTCCCACGGAAACCGCCCTGACCTCGACCTTGTCCAGAGACTAACCGCACCTTCAAAAACCCACACACATCCACCTCTGGGGTCAGAGCAGAACCAGCCAGGGGAGAGGAGAGAGCAGAGGCTTCTCTGGTGGGAGCCTTTCTTAGGAAGTTTTTCTTGACCCTTTTTGGAGCCTGTTTAAAGTTCTCTTTATATCATTGAACGAGTCTCTGTGTTATCAATACCCAACACCCTCCGCACGTTCTCGGACACAGGCCGCGCAGCAGTCGTGACACACATCTGTAATTCCAGCTCTTGGGAAGCAGAGATGAGAAATTCATGGCCAGCCTCAGCTACACAGAGAGGTGGAGGTTAACCTGGACTGCATGGGGAAAGCAGAAAAGAAAGAGGAAAATGTAAGCAAAAACGTATTTATTAAGGAACCCCCCAAACCCTGCAGTCACCATCCAGCAGTCCCTGGTCCCTTTGCCTCCTAGAACTCCATTCCTGATACTTCTCACCTGTCACTGTCCACAGCGGCCCGCATCTCCCTCCTGCAGCATTTCTAGGAGGGCTGCTCCGTGGGCGTCTCCAGATACTCTTCCACAGCGGCTACTGCTGCAGAGACTCCAGTGTTCTTATCAAGAGAAGGTTTCCGGAAACTGCCGTTGTCCATGGTCCTTCCTCAAATGGCCTTAATGTCACCTGTGATGAAACAGAAAGAGCATTAAGAGCACAGGACAAAAAACAAACAAACAAACAAACAAAAAAAGAACAGAACCAACCAGGCCACAGCTGTCACCTGATCTAACTGACAGCCATTGTGGGGATGTGTGACTTAAAGACACATCCTAATTTCAATGACATCATAACATGGATATAGGTATGGTGGATTTTAAAAGTATGAGTACCACCCAGGGGCAGTATGGGCTAGGTCGGTGATGAGCTGTAATTCACAGGCCCAAGGCACTCAGCTTGGCACTGGCCACACCCTTGGCATTGCTCAACTGTCCCCTGACTCTTTGCAACCCAGGGTATCGCCCTCCTTGCAGGGCTAGCTCGGGTTTATGGCAACAATCGCTGCTCCTGCCAGACATGATCTCAAAGCCATAAAGAGTTTTACAGTTTCATTCTTCCCAAGATAAGGCTGGGGAGCCCTTCCCAAGGCCGGGCACAATCTCGGAGCTCAGGAGGAGGGGCTGGGCGTTGGGGACTGGTACAAGTTTTATGGCCTCCACTTCTCTAAAAATACCTCGTTCTCATAGCCTCAGCCTGAGTGTGCTGGTGAGGGTTCAGCACCTGGAGTACAGTGACAATCACTCATTCTGGCACGCTTCATTCATTCATTCATTCATTCATTCACTCGTTCTGAATGGTGTGTGGGACACAGCAGCTTGTGTTTCTTACCATGCCACGTCGTGCTGCCTATGCATCCAGACGAGTTGCTTCCCTTCCTCTGCACAATGAGAATTGTTTATCCTCCCAACAGCCTCAGCGAGGTCCACATAGACAGCAAGCATGTGTAGCCTATAGCAGGCCTACAGCGAAGTAGCCTGGAACCTTTGTCTTCACCACCAACTTTTACTTTGTTTGCTTTTGTGGGACCCTCTTCCCAGCCTCTCTGTAGTCTGGCCCAGGACAAGCCCTCACCTTTCACCTCCTTGCTACCTGTTCCCTGTCACACCCCAATCATCAAAATGCTTCAAGTCAAGATGTCGGAGCACTTCCAAACCTGGTTCCGGGAGCACCCCGCACCCCTGCCCCCACCCGCGCCTAGCAGCTCCAGCCCTTGGCAGCTGCTGCTGTCCCTGTGACTTTGCCTTCCTTGAACATCTCACAGATGCTCATCGGGATTCTGCTGAGTCTGCCTGCCTCTTTCGGGAAACACAATGCCTTTGTGATACATGTTGGCTGCACGGGTAATTTGTCCTCTCCTCTCCCTCTCCCCTTCCTCCTCCCTTTCCCTCCTTCTCTCCGACAGTGTTTCTTTCACTATGCAGCCCCAGAATGTCCACTCACCTGCCTCAGCATCCATGTGCTTAGATAACAGGCTAACAAGACCACCTCGCCCAACTCGATGTGACCTTCCCTCCCCAGCCCCGACCTCCCCAAAGATTTGGATCCTCAGTGCTTCTGTAGGCATTTCATTGACAGCTCACATAGCACAGACAAAGCTCAACTCAAGCCGGTGACTCATCCACTCCTCCCCATGTCATCCCAATGTGCCAATACCGCCCGTGCTGTTTCTTTTCCTTCATCCTCAGCATCAAGTTCTTGATGGCTCTCCTCAAATGTGATCTTCTCTGGCCGCCGCCTGTATTTGTTCTCTGTTGCAAACCTCTAAGGAGGTCAAGTGATGTGTGTTGGTTACCTCTGCCCTGCAGAGTTCTTAGGCCGGAAGAATGGGCCTGACGTGACTGTGTCCGAAAGCCGGCTGCCTCTATTCCTAACTACGGGCTCTAAGGAAAGATCCAGATCCTTGTGTTGCTGGCTGAATTCAGTTCCTCATGGACTGAGGTCACCATTTCCTTGCTGTTTGCCAGCAAGGGTCACCTACATTCTTTCTATGGAGTCCCCTTTATCATCCCTCCCATACTTCTTATTTAATACGCCAGAAATTGCTCTGTCTCCTTCAAGGACTCACTGATGAGGTCAGCCAGGTTTAGGGCCTTAATTAAACCTGTGAAAGTCCTCACTATAGGGCTAGAAAAGATGGGCTCAGTTGGTAAAGGAACCTGCCATCAAGCCTGATGCTTTGAATTCATTCCTGAGATCCACATGGTGGAAGGAAAGAACCAGCTTCAGTCAGGTGGTGAAGGCACACACCTTTAATCCCAGCACTCAGGAGGCAAAGGCAGGCAGATCTCTGAGTTCCAGGCCAGCCTGGTCTACAGAGTAAGTTCCAGGACAGCCAGGGCTACACAGAGAAATTCTGTCTCAAAAACAAAACAAAACAAAAAAAACCAAAACCAAACTAAAGAACCAACTTCTGCAAGTTGTCTTCTGTGCTCCATTTCCATGCCATGGATTCCATTGGCATTCCCTGTTCATATACTCACACTCATACACAAAATAAATAAAATGCCATAGAGCACACAAGCATCCCCTCCAATAAAATGACATGATGCACACAGACACCTCCCCAAAACAAATAGGATGCTATGATGTACATTGGCACACACACACATGATGCCATGATGCACACGGGCATCCCCCTATACACAACAAATAAAATGTACTTTAAAAACATTTTTAAAAGTCCTCTTGTAGCAGATAAATGAGTGGTAGATTGAAGAATGGGAGAAGATGTGTTAGGGCTGGAACCCTGGGGCCTGTTGTAGAATTCTGCCTACTCCTGTATCTTATATTCTGTGTACCTGACCCTCCCCTGCACCACTCCCTGCTCACTGCTTCCATGCTGCGTCTGCCACACGCACTGTTCTCGCGGTCTTTTTAAGCACACGAAGCAGGGCCTGGGAGTGTAGCTCACTCAACAGAGCACTTGTCTGGCACATATGAGGCCCTGGGTTCCGTTGCCAGCACTGAATGAGTCAGGGCTTGGTGGCTCATGTCTGTAATTCCAGCACTCAGGAGGTAGAGGCAGGAGGATCAAAAATCCAAAGTCGTCTTTGGCTACATAGCAAATTCAAAGCCAATCCGGGTTCTATGAGATCTAGTCTAAAAAGGGGGTGGGGTGGTGCTGCAAGATGGCTCAGCAGGTCAAGACACTTGCTACCAAGCTTAAGGACCTGAGTTCAATCCCCAGAACACACATGGTGGAAGGAAATGACCGATTCCAGCAGTTATTCTCTGACCTTCATATGCACGCCATGTCATGAAACTGCACAATCACATTAACGCACGCACGCGCATGTGCACATGCACGCACACACACGCACACACACACACACACACACACACACACACCTCACTTTAAAAAGAGTAAAAGAGTTGGTTGTGGTAGTGGCACCTTTAATCCCAGCACTCAGATGGCAGATGTAGGCAGATCTCTGTGAATTCAAGACCAGCCTAGTCTACCCAGCACAGGCTACACAGTGAGAACCTTCAAAAATAGAGTAATAAATTATAACAAAAGAAAGGAAAGGAAGAAAGAGAGGAGAAAGAAGGAAGAAAGAAAACAAGGAAGGAAGAAAAGAAGGAAGGAAGGAAGGAGGCAAGCAGGCAAGTCTGGCTGGTCTGGTGCTACCCTAAGATCCCAAAAAGCACCCAGCACATCTTGGGTAACCTCTGATTACTTGTTGAATGAAGCTTTAGGCTGTTCTCTCCTCTTTTGAAGCTGCTGTGGGGCAGACACATTTCATAGTACTTTAGTTTTTCCATTGTGATAGCACACCCTCCATTTTACCCTGCACAATGTAACCACAGTGATCTCTCTCTCTCCATCTCTCCCTCTCTCTCTTTCTCTCTCTCTCTCTCTCTCCCTCCCTCTCTCTCTCTCTCTCTCTCTCTCTCTCTCTCTCTCTCTCTCACACACACACACACACACACACACACTGGCCACATCCTTCCCTCTCCCTGCTTTGAAACCAATAGTTTGTTCCCATTTCCCCAGGATTCCTCTGTTCATCATCTGAGGTCCCATCTGCTTCTGGATGCAAGATGAAGGTCATGGAGGGATGCTGGGAGATTTAACAGATTCACAGGAATGGCACTAGGTGACATGGTCCCCAAAGTCCACCCCCTTTCTGGTCTTTACTTCCCCACCCCAAGACAGGGTTTCTCTGTGTAAGTCTGGTTGTCCTGGAACTCACTCTGTAGACCAGGCTGACCTCAAACTCATAGAGATCTGCCTGCCTCTGCTGGAATTAAAGGTGTGTGCCACCACTGTCCACCTGGTCTTTGCTTCTGAGAACATCAAGGAAAAGATTCCATTGGGTGAGGAGTCGTTAACATTATTGCGATACTTGTTAGCCACTCATTTCCCACTTTATTTTTGAGAGTGGGTCTTGCCATGCTGCCCAAGCTTGCTGAAAACTCACAGGCTTAAGTCATCCTCCTGCCTCAGTCTTCTGAATAGCTCAAACTACAGGCATATTGAGCTGTATTCCACTACAGTTTTCCGAACAAAGAAGGTAGGGAGGGAAGAAGGAAGGAAGGGAAGAGGGAGGGAAGGAAAGAGGAAGGGAAGGGAAGAGGGAGAGAGGGAGAGAGGGAGGGAGGGAGGGAGGGAGAGAGGGAGGGAGGGGCTGCTGGTATGATGACATACCTCCATAATCCTAGCACTTGGAATTCTGAGGCAGGAGGATTGAGAGTTTGATTCTAGCTCGGACCCTCAATCTTTACTCAGGAGACAGAGTCTCAAATGCCATATTAAAACAAGCAAACATGCAAAAGGAGAAGACATGAAAGTAGAGCTCTTTCTAGCCATTTCTGTCTGTCTACAGCTGAAAGTTAATTTTCTTCCCACTTTAATTTGTCAGACCTTTCCTTTTATAGCTTCCCTATTTATGTCCGTGGCTTCGAGTTGAAAGAATGTCTATGGACTGAAGGGAAGGTTCCGGGCTGGGAAGGTCCAGCTGTGCTGTGCCCAAGACCCAGATGGGGATGCGGACCTCCTCCCGTCTGTAGGCCTTCTGCGGCCTCTCCGACTTCAGCTCCACCTCAAGTGTGCTTTCATCTGCCTCACTATTGCCTCTCAATCGTTCCTTCAATGTGCACGCCACGCCCTCTCCCGTCCTTCCATCTCACCGCCCTCCTTGGTTCTTAATAGTGAGTTTCGTGTTGATTTTCCGTCTACACGTGAACAAGATGAGCTCTGGGAGGAAGGGAGGTGCCTCACGGTGTTCCTTCTCTGAAATCCCAGAACGCCTCATCTTGGGTCTTTGCCCATTGACCTTTGTCACTTTCCAGTGCTCTCCCCCTGTGCCCACTGCACAAAGACTGAGTCATCAGTGGCTCCCAGTGTCCTCATGGTGGCCTCTGGAGTCAGACAATGGGCACCTGACCAGCTGTCACACCAGTTAAGGGCCTTTGGCAAATCCCTTTCTTCTCCTGAGCCCGTTCCCTCACTTATACGACAATAGCTGCTCTAGTGAGTGGTGGAATTTCATTATGTCCAGCAAGCTAGGCAAAGAGGAAGCGTTCCAGGAGCATCGTACTTGACATCATGACGCCACTCCATCATCAAACAGTTGCAAGGGATTCTGGGACTTTGGTCCCTTAGACCTCATCTTGGACTTTACATAGGAGACACAGACTGGAGAAGTGTCAATCAAAGGTGATCTGGGCTCTACAACTGAGGAAGGTGACAACCTCATCAATTTGGGGTGACAGGTCACTCATGCTGCCTGAGAATTTTCTTTGGCTCCTTGAACTACCGATCACTCAGTGCTCTTTGGGTTTCTGGTCCTGCTGGGGATCATGGGGCAAGAAGCCTCTGGTTTGTGTCTTGGAAAAGAACCTTTGGAGAAAGGCTGAAAGGGAGAGCCTCCCAGAAGGCCCAGGTCTCAGTCAGCCCATAGCTCCCCACTTTTCTCAACTTTGAATGAGGGTACTCCTGTTTGTCACTTTACCTGATACTGTTTAGCAGCTGAAATGGGAACCAGATTGAGGCACTGGCTGCCTGCGCTGGAGGGCAAAGGGCAGGTGAGGTGGAGGAACCAAGGTCGGGGAATTTATGGCAGTCTGAGGTTTATGGTTTTGATATGCGTTTATTAAGCACAATTTAGGGCCGAAATGTTCTCCTCCCACCCCCACCCCCACAGCCATGTTGGCAGGAGTGGAGACAGGCTTATTGCAACATCATCAAAACACTTCCTGGTGTTCAGGGCTAAGGGGAGGGATGGGAAGGTGGAAGAGGCCTCTGGGCCCGGGGAAGGCAGTTAATGGGTGCTCCTGAAGATAGACAAGGAATGGGTAGCCTCTCCCCAGAAACCTGTGTGACTGTGGCATCGCTCAGAGCGGTGCTCCTAGTTTACAGCTGGGGCTTGCAGAGGCTGAGTGACAAGCCCACATGACACTGACCACAAAAGGCTACCAGTGACATTAGAAGGTCCCCATCCCTGGACGCCCTGGGGTGCTGGAGAAATGGACTTTCCATGAGAAAAGCCCTGGCCTCTCATTGGTCAGCGGTGATGGTGGGATGCCCTATTGTGGCCAGTTTTTAAGTCTCTGACACAATATTGGGAAAACATCTGGGAGGAGAGACAGACGCCCAGCTTCCACATGCTGCTTCCAGTACGCCCCACACGAGTGTGAGGATGTGATCTGTGGGGGGGGGGTGGCTGAACATCAGGCCATCTACTTAAGGGGAAAGGATCTAAACGGCCTTGAGATTGGCACACACATCATTTGATTGTTCTTGCTCTTATGACACTCTGGTGTCCATGTGTCTGGAAGGTTGGTGCGGCCCCCAAAAGAGCTCCATCTTGGAACCTCTGGCTATTCTACCCAATCTCTCCACTGCCCTCTCTCGTCTCTTCTCTCTTTATGGGGGGAAGACTGATTTCACTCTCCCTATATACCTGATACCCTGAGCTAAGAAGTCAGGGCTGAGGCTGGGGGAATAGATCAGTCGGTAAAGTGCTTATCTTGTAAACACGAGGACCTGAGTTCAATTCCCAGAACCCACATATAAAACCTGGATGTAGAATCACATGCTTATTTAACATGCACGGATGTTTTCTCAGCATGTATTTCTGTGCACCACATTTGCATCTTGTGCCTTTGGAGGCCAGAAGAGGAAGTTGGATTTCCTGGAACTGGAGCTATAGACAGTTGTGAGCCACCATGTGGGTGCTGGGAATTGAACCCTGGTCCTCTTGGGAAGCAGTCAGTGCTCTTCACCAACTAGCCATCTCCCTAGCCACTGGCAAATGCTTCAAATCCCAGTGATGAAGACAAGCAGATCCTCAGGGTTTGCTGACCACTAGCCTAGCCTAATCCATGAACTCCATGTCAGCGAGAGACCTCATCTCCAGAGACAAGGTGGATGATACCCTGGGAACAATACAAGAAGCCATTCTCTGCCCTCCTTGGGCATCAGCACATATATACTACATACACACGTGCAACCTTCCACATGCAAATGCGAATACACACACACATTCACACACACACACACACACAGGGGTGGGGTAGGGCAGGATTGAACTTCTACCACAGCCTTTCAAAGAAAATCACCTCCCTGAGCTTCAGTTTCCTTACCTATGTGATAGGAGATTATCTATAAAGTTTAACCTCTTCACAGGACAACTGAAAAGGAAGCATTCTTATGCACTGTGAACACCCCAGACTATCCTTATTCTAACACTAAGGGAAAAAGACACCAGTACAAGGACTTAGAAAACATACATGCCATTTATTTTGTTGGATAAACTTAGGTTAAAACACACAGGAGTAGGAGCTGTTATTGAGGGTTTTTTTTGACCTCTTGGGCAGTAATGGTGGGATTTGGGGATCAGGAAGGTGCAGACTAGTCTGATGGGGTACAGCCTGCCTTATGAATGCTTGGTGTGAAGTTCATGATTCCTATTTACCAGGGCAGGTAACAGAGTTCTAGCAAAGGCAACTGGGGTGGTTATCACAAGAAACAGAGGACTGTCACTTCTGATCCTCCCTTCTCTTGTGTCCACTCTCAGGAAAGCCTCCTGAATTCTGGAAGATTCTGAGAGTTCCCTGAAGAAAGGAGGGTGGTCTCAGGAAAAAACTGTAGTACCCACCCTTATCTGTCTCCAGCTTGTACTTAGTCCATCATATTATGTATTAGGACCAAAACTCAGAAGAAAAAAAAACTCCAACATAGTGTCCTCAGCTTATAGTCAGAAGAGTAAACTTTTCTTATTTCACATTTCCCATATTGTAATAGTTATTAATGCGGAATGGATTTCTTCTTCGGAAAGGATGGATTGGGGCAATGACTGAGCCCTGCTCCAGGAGACTGCTACCACTGAAAGCCAACATACCTACTCCTCTCATGAACATCACTGGGGATGGAGGGACAAAGAGTGGGTAAGACAACGTCCAGAAGGAGTCCAGCTGCCCTGTTTCATGCAAAGCAGTTTGAACAATCTTTCTGGAATTCCTGGGAGCACTGGAGTGAGGATGGCCAAGAAAGGTTTGAGGGCTCTGAGCATGGAAAAGTCTATCCAGAGACCCAGGGCTTGGCTTGAGGGATTAAGGACAACTCATCCTGACCATCCTGGACTGTGGGTATCTTTTTCTTTAAGTAGGTGTCCTTGGACTCCTCCATACCCTTTTGCAGAGGACCTGGCACTAAAGCTGGCATTTCTGGACACTGGGGTGCTAGATCCACCCATTCAGAAGGGTCAGCCTTGATGGACTGTGGTATTCAGTCTCTTAGTCCATTCCTCCCATTTATCACACCTCCAGTCGTGGAAACATTCCTTTTATTCCCATTGGTCAGTGGCACTTTGTAGGGGCCACTCATAGCCATCAAGAGTCAGGCAGGGGCTAAACGCTGACTGGTGGGGATTAGCAGTTCCAGAATGTGCCCTGAATGTAGCTCCTCAAGCAAGCCTGACCCAGGCTTCCTTATCCCTCTCCTGCCCCTCACCCACACCATCTCAGCCCTAGATGGCCAGACTAGGCCTGTCCTTCTAGGAAGCACACCCTTGCTGCTCCTTACTCACACTCGGGGAGAGGAGAGGAAAAAGAGGCCCGGAGTCATGAATCCACTTCTCTTCTCAGCAAAGAGGATTCTTGACATCCCAAGGCCTTGAGAACACCCTCTAGCTGGCCAGTTATGGAAAGAGCAAGCCTCTAGAGTGGACACCAGTAAAGGATGAGGAAATCTCTGACTTCCATCACAGGGGAGACAAGAGCTTCCTATGAGGCCTTTAAGATCCTCTACTTTCACCTTCTAAAGATTCTATGAGATGGTGGATGTCGAATGCCTACGTGTCATCCGCGAGTACAGAAGAGCTTGACACGCCCTGGGGAGAACTCTGACCCATCCCTTTGTCTCACTCCTACTCTGGCCTCCTAGCTCCCTCTCAGCAGTCCGACCTCTGAAGGATGCTGTCTTCATCTTCTGACAGGCCCACACTGCAGCTACTCCCAACTTCAGTCTAGCACTCAAGGTTCCAAGGTCCCCAATGTGTGCCCTATCTCAACTTCTTGGAAACTGATTTCTTAATTGTCTCACTCACGTGCTGTTCCTTGCTTCCGGGCCTCTGTTCGGGCTCGCCTCCTGCAAACTGGTCTGTGTCATCTGCTGTGCTAGCCAGAAGCCCACCTTCCCTGTCAAAGGAGAGGCAGAGCTTGCCTCTTTCTAGATGCCTCCCCATGGCTCCCAACCTCTCTCCACATTCTGTTGCGATTGTCACCCTTGGATGACTCTCTGCTGTACAGAACCATAAGGCTTATCGCTCCAACGTTACAGCCTAGTGCTGGAGGGAAGAATCATGGTGGTGTTGGCAGAGGGGGGATGATGACTCCTACCTACCCTCTGTCTCACCTGAGTCAGTGCTTACAGAAGGTTCTCAGAATGAATGGGGAAATGGTTGCCACATCTTCCTCAGCCTCCGGGAGGCGGCTTTGGAGAAGTCAGAATGGCCGAGGAAGAGAACAATGGAGGATGGGATAGAGGGTCACCTGAGATCAGATCGTCACAGCAGAAGAGGGGAGTAACACACTACAAGCTGCCTCAGCCTCAGAAGCTTTGTATCCAGACCCCCTAACCAGCACCAGGAAGGAAGAGGCCCCAGCAGGGGGAGGAGAAGGGAGTTGTGTTTGAACAAGGTCCTGCAGCGACTGCAGACAGTCATCCTTCAGGGGCGAAGAAGCTGAGGGAAGATACGGATAAAGATGAAGACAGTGGCTTCAACTTGGGAAAAATAGTCCAGGCATTGGAAACCTTCCCAGCCAGGGTCTCCTCAAGGCAAAGCCCTGCCCTCCAAGGTGTGGGGTCAGGGGTGGCGATGCGTGTGCACTCAGCCCGTGTTTCTGGCCCCCGCGCCCTTTCCATGGCTGCTCTGGGACTGGCCCTCTTGTCACGTCTTCTTTGCGGTGACTTAAGTTGCACGTGAGCCAGCAGAACCCCCGACCCCCAGCGGCTTGCTAGATGACTTCTTGCTTGGTGATTGTTGGTTGGGGAATGGCAGAGGGAGGCTTGACGATGGTGGCAATGGCTCCTGGCAGGAGCTTGTAGGGTTCAGACCCCGAGCCACTGGGTGGTGATGGCTGCGGGGTCTCAGGAGTGGCTAAAACAAGAAAGAGATAGAGATTGCTCAAAATTCCAGCCTTTGTGGGAATAACTGAAGAGCCCTGGGGAAGCTCTCCCACCTGCCGAGACAATTATATAACATAAGACGATGGACCTAGTCCCTAAGGTTGTTACGGCTCAAACATCTAGGAATTCCAGACCCTAAAATCTATGTTCTATGGGGCCCTACCATCCATCTGTCCGCCATTTGATATGGAGGCTCAGGCTTTCCCCAAACCAGGGTCCAGGTGTGACTGTTCCCAAAGGCAATATGACATGTGATAAATGTACTAATTTGGAAGAAAGAGCAGCAATTGAGGCCCTGGGCTAATGGCTAAAACTGGCATTTCTTCAATATTTAGGAGAAGAGTAACACAAATGAAAAGGCTTCATTCCCGTTACAGGTTGGGTGAGAGACTTTCACCTGCATGCCTGCTTTCATTTAGTAGACTACTACAAAATCCCTTTCACCCCAGTGGCCACCTCATCTCATTGATGATCCTGTTCTGTGAAGAGCTTGGCCCAATGACCAACTCAGCCACTGGAGATTTCCCCTCAGATGGTGGCCTAGTACAGCGGCAGTCCTACTTAATTGCCAGTCTTTTTCAGCTGTCCAAAGGGTGGTCACGTCCATCTGGGCAGCCTATTTCAGTGAACACTTTCACCTAGTGAACGATTCCATCTTATGGAATTTTCAGCCAACAAACATTCTCGATGGTCCCCTCACCTAGTGGATTGCCTCATTCAGTAGATTGTCGGTCATTTAGCTGAATACCCCGCCTCACTGAATAAACTGCTTTAACCCACAGCCTCCCTCTATTCCTTATTCCGAAACACAGAGAAGTATGTCCCTGGTCCCACCTTCTAGACACAATCTTCTCCTGACTCCCTTCTTAGACCCATCTGTATCCCTTATAGGGTAGAACCCAGGTTGCCCACCTGCCTGCCCCCTGGGTCGGGGCCACTCACACATCTGTCCATTGCTGAGGTGAGAGGGCATCGTGTTGGCAACTATGACATTGGTGCCCATGTGTTCCTGCATCAGGTGAGGGTGCAGGGGATGGTGGGCATGGGGTGCATCGCTGGCAGACCCTGTAGATAGAAATGAGGGCATCCGTCAGGACCGGAAGTCTTGGAAAAGGACCACAGCCTTGCAGCACCATTTTCCTCAGTAAGGCAGTCAGGCTACTCGTCATGACCAAGTGTCTCTTGGGCACTTATTATGGGGTTCAAAGTCACCATCTCAAGCCAACCTCAGCTCTGGCCCAGCTACCCTTCAGGGGGGAGCATTAGCAAAGGTTTGTCCTTTGTATCTCTGCCTCATCACTTACTCTGTGATACTCCGCCAACCCGGTTTCCATGCTCTGAACCCTCCGACGCTGCACTCAACAAGAGGATCGAGACCCTGCCTGCTTCCACGCCTCCCTCTCTCCTACTCCTTCACTGATTTCTAACTTCATCCCTTCCCTGCACTCCTCCCCTCCCTTTCTCTTTCCTTCCCTTCTCTTCCTCCCCCCCTCCCCTCATTTAACACCATTGTACCCTGTCTTCCAGAAAACATACCTTTTCTTGGATTCTATAGTTTTCTTGCTTTTCTCCCATGCCCCTGGCTGGTCTTTTCTAAAACCTCCCGTGACACACCTCTTTTGACTGCTATTGCTAGAAAGGCCAAGGCTGCTTCCCCTCTATTGCTGGGCTACCCACTCACGTACTTAACGGTCGTGATAGCCCAGTTTGGATATCTAACCCGGCTCCTGTGTCAAGTCCAGGATGGATCTTCTGGGTCATCTACTCACCACTCTAGACCCAGATTCAGGTCTTTCCCCATCTTCCTTGTCAATAAATTATTCCACCACTGTTTCCAACACTCAGAGCAAACATTCGGACTTGATCCTTTGCTTTTTCCTCTTCTGTCACTCCCTGCTTCAGCACCTGCTGAATCCAGAGTCTCCTCCTCCTCTGCCTGCTCCACTCCCACGGTCTAAGCCACCATTGTCTCAGATGGTAGGACGAGTACCATTCCTGGTGCTCCAACCGCTCCCTGCCCCCTTCAACTCACTAGTGACCCCTAGTCAGACTGGCTTGTTTACACTTTTACTTTAATTTCCAGCCTCTTTACAAAAGTTGCAGAGAGAATAAAATACAATTGCCCCCTTTCCTTCCTATCCCTCCCTCCCTTTCTTTCCTTCCTTCCTTCTTTCCTTCCTTCCTTCCTCCTTCCTTCCTTCCTCCTTCCCTTCCCTCATTCTTCTCTTCCAAAGTCTCCCTGTATTTCCCAGGCTGCCTCACAAATTCATGGCCCTCCTGCCACAGCCTCCCTGTTGGAATTACACAGGTTTGCTCCTATATAAAATTCCTTTTTTTTTTTCAAATCAGGGTTTCTCTATGTAGCCCCTAGCTGTCCTAGAACTCTTAGACCAGTCTGGCCCTGGAACTCAGAACTCAGAGATCTACCTGCCTCTGCCTTCCAAGTGCTGAGATTAAAGTCACGGACCATCACTGCCCAGCCTAAACCCAAATTTTTGATTCTGGCCCATCAAGCCCTGTTAATGACTTGGTTTTTAGTTCATTTCCACCTTCATCTCCTCCAGCTATCCCATCTCACACATGAATCTTACCTCAGAGCCTGGAACAAATGACTTCTGCTTAGAATGTTGTCCAAGATTTTAAAATCTAGTAGTTTGTACCCATCGGTCTTAGACACCACTTCAGGGAGAGGGAGGCATCAATTGGTCGACTCATTTTCAGGCCCTCACATGACCTGTCTATTTTTTTTTTGCTGTTCTTTTGGTTATTGTCTGTTTCCATGGTATTCTTTCCTCCTTACAACAGTCGTTGACTGACTCATGCTAGAGCCTTTTATTTATTTGTTTATTTTGCTATTCATTTGGTTATTGTCTGTTTCCATGGTATTCTTTCCTCCTTACAACAGTCGTTGACTGACTTGTGCTAGACCCTCAGCATCTGAACAAATGGACCTCTGTCCTTATCTCTATTTTTTTTCCTGGTGAGAAACCAAGGTCTCACAGACAAAGACAGATTGTCCAAGGCTCCCACTAAAGAAACAGTGGAGTCTAGAGGCCAGCTAGGTTCATGAGAAGCCTGACTCAAGAGACAGCATTGCAGATCTACAAAGAGATGGCGCCCCTACCCCCACGCTCCGCCCCCCACCCCCACCCCTGGGCTGCAGACCTCCTAGCAGCATCTCTTGCAGCAGGTTGTCGATCTTGGCCATGCCAAAGAGCTTGATGAACTGGATCTGTTCGATCATCTGCCAGGTGATGCTCTGCAGGGTCGGCAACAGTAGCAGAAGTTCACCAAACCGGCCCCGAGAGTCGTACTGGCGGTCGTTGATGTAGTCCTCCAGGCTCACCTGTACCTGCGACCTCAGCCGCTTGATCTTGCCCGGGTCACTTAGCCCCTTGGCATCTGCAGTGGGAGAGGTGGTCAGGAAGGGTCCAAATCTCCTAGCTTGTAGGCCCCAATTGGGCAGCTTATTGATCTTGGAACATAGGGAGTCTTTAGAAACTTAACTTATTAATGATTTTATTTATTTTTATTTTGTGTGCATTGGCATTTTACCTACATGTACATCTGTGTGGGGGTGTCAGATCACCTGGAACTGGAGTTACAGACAACTGTGAGATACCATGTGGGTGCTGGGAATTGAACCCAGGACGTCTGGAAGAACAGCCAGTGCTCTTAACTGCTGAGCAATCTCTCCAGTTCCATGAAGACAGGGAATCTTAACCAGTGCTGGGACAAGAATTTTGGGTCCTCAACAGCTAGCTTACTCCAGAACAAATAGTGGTCTCCTAGACCCAGGCAGAAATAGATACTAAGCCTGGTACCGCATGTTATAATCTCGATTCTCTTTTAAATTTCCTCATGCTATACTAGAGATCAAACCCAGTGTCTTGCACACACAAGGCAAATGCTCTTCTGTTGAGAGCCCCAGTCTCTCCTGGTCTCAGGGAAGGGGAAATAAGGAAGACTTGGCCAGCTCATGCAACTAGTTGCTGGAAGGACCATGATGTGAACTTGGGGCTCCTGGCTCACAGAGGAGGTTCCACCATCTAGAACCTGCGATTGTACACCTGTCACTGAGCAGTGACCACCTGCCCAGCCTCGAGCTTTGCACAACAGGACTGGAACTAGACTCTCACTCTCTGGTAAATGGGGAGTTGCAGGCAGAAAGACCATGAATTTGAAAAACATATATAAATTAATGGCTCTACAAGTCTATGCTCTACAAGTTCCTAGTTGTGTGGCTTGCTTGAGTCAATCAGTCTCTCTACATTTCCATCTTCTCCTTATTTGAAAATGGGGTGAAGATGGTTCCTATCTCACAGGTATCATGTCGCATATAATCTGCATAAAATGTTTAAAACTATGCACCTGGGAGTCCTCAATAAACGATAGTCATTTTCCTCTTGGCTGCTTTTATTGCTAGAGGTCATCTCTGAAATCAGGGACTAGCACCAAGGACAGCGCCTAGTGCCCATAGGATCCACACTCCAGCAGGTAAAACCAAAGATAATGAGAAATAAAGCAGGCTTTGTATAAAGATTTGACTACAGACATACCATGCAAACTCAGAAACAAGAGTCAACACAGTCAACAGGGAGAGGACAGAGAGAACCTGAAGAGAGAAGATGCAACATCCTTGTTCCAACAACTGAAGGGTAGAAGATGCTGCCCATAGCTGACAGGACAAGAAACAAAGTATACTGCTGAAAGCGCCAGAGGTAATCAACAAGAGACAGGACAACATTAACAATGGAGGATGGGAGAAAGGATGTTAAGGATGATGGAAAAGAAGGAAGATGGAAAAGGTAAAACCCAGGCTTTTGCCAGGTGGATCTCTGTGAGTTCGAGGCCAGCCTGGTCTACAAGAGCTAGTTCCAGGACAGCCTCCAAAACCACAGAGAAACCTTACCTTGAAAAACAAAAACAAACAAACAAACAACCCAGGCTTTTGTAGTCTGTGCCCTGTAAAGTGCTTCCTTCCTGGGAACCCTAGTCTGCCTGGTCTACTCAGTGGGGTTGATGAAAATGACTTCTGGTTGTCATGATAATGCAAGAGATTGTGAGCCTATAAGGAACGTGACAGCAGGTCTGGGCATGTGAATGACAGATTAGGAGATGTGGATGGTACCTGGGTCGAAGAAGATGATGGCTTTGAGGCAGGCATACTCATTGTCATCGATCTGCAGCTCCTGGAAGGGCAGGACCAGCTCATCGAGGATGCGAACGGACACTCGGCTCATCTCTGCTAGCTCCGGGCAGTGCCGAGGGACGATGTAGTCATTGCCTGGATAGGTGGAGGGGAGAAGATGGGTCTGTTGCCTTGGTTGTCCCCTATCACCCCTGTTGTGCTTTGCAGTTAAGAGTGTTCCTAGGAGAAGCTACCGGATCACCAAGCCCATTTTACAAATCAGAAATCTGAGGCCACTGGAGGAAGGTGAATGCCTGAAGTTCTGGGTAAGCTAGGAACTTGACTTTTTCAGAGACCTTTCATGTTCCCCAAACTCCTTTTACCTGCATGACTCAATATGAAGGAAAGCCAAGGCCCACTTGGGAGGCACTAAAGTGTCAAGGTTAAGGGACAGATTCCAGAACTGGGTCAACCCATCTGAATGGTTCTGCCACTTATGGCTGGGTGTGATTAGGTAACTTATTTGTGACTCAGTTTCCTCATCTATAAAAATGGGAATATCTAACAACTATTTTGGGATTGTTGTATTGAAAGAGGTCATGAACATTTGTCTGGTGGCTAGCATAGTCCTTGACATATAGGGTACCTTACACAAGCATTCCAAATAATAAGTATTTCCTAAAGGCCCAGGCAACATGGTCTAGGGGCTGAACCATTCCTAGCCACCTTTTGTTTCAACCCTGCAAAGAACTTTAAAATGTACTCAAAATTCCAGGGACAATGGATTACTCTCTAACTGGATGCCTAGGAGCCCCCCCCCATGCCTTTATTTCCTACATCTGAGTCGGGGAATCACCTGAGAGCTGGGTTCTGTAGCCTCATACTTTGGTCAAGTCTAAGAACAGGCCTGGGCTACATTTGTTTTAATTTTGCTGTGGTGCTGGGAATGGACATGTGCTCTACCATTGAGCTGTACCTCCAGGCTCCCCTTAAAGGTTTTCCTAAATTGCATTGTGTTTATTTATTTATGTTGGGGGAGCAGTCTGTGTGTCTCAGTGTGCACGTGGAGGTCAGTGCACAATCACGGGAGATGGTTTTCTCTTTCCACCACATGGGTCCCTAGGCTTGAACTCAGGTTGTAAGTCTTGGCAACAGGTACTGTTCCCATCTGAGCCATCTTGCCAGTCCAAGGTATTGCTAGTGCACTCCCAACTGATAGTTGTTAGATTTTTTAAAATATTTTTTAAAATTTTAGTTGAAGATAGGATCATGTTAGATTTCTTAGGCTGACCTGAGCCCTCTACATAGTCTACCCAAACATGTCTTGACCTTGTAAACTTCCTGTCTCAGCTTCCTAGATAGCTGGGATTACAGGCTTGCAACAGCATATCCAATTTGGGATGTTTCCGATCTTCCAGCCTGGTCCCTGTGTGTTACTATGGAGATACTCTTCCCTTGTGGGTGTACCAAGCTGGGTTCCATCCCCCAATCTCTGTCTGGGACCAGCAGCCTCCTCACCTAGAAGCAGCACGTCCTTGAACACCATGGATCTCTTGGTGGCTCCGAGCAGTAGATGCTCACCGGCATGGGCTCTGAGCAGGGCCACCTGGAAGAGAGACGAGGTAAAGTCTAGCATCTGCACCCCAGGAAGGTTGCTCAGAGTCAGATCAGTGGCCTTGGCAAGGCAGCTCTATGTCCCTTCTGCCTTTACTTACCTGAGCCCCCAAAAATACACCACAAAACCTCTGCCTTCCTCCCACGACAGATGATGCAAGGACTATGGGAAGGATTCTACAGAGACCAGGGAGGTGGAAGCATGTACTCTCCAAACCAGGGCACTTCCTGTTCACTCTGCTCTTGAACCGGTGTGTCTATCTTTGGGGAAAGAGCTGTGCCCTGGCCTCATCAGGGCATAAACCACACATGATGTGCATGCCTTAGACCAGATCCTCAAAAGGGTGTCAGCTTGTGCTCGATGTTTTAAAACTGTGGGTTCCAAGTTCCTACCAGTGTGCCAACTGCAGGGAACTCTAGGGAAAGTCATAGTCCTGGTTTCAACTGCCAGTGACTGATTCTATACAATGAGCAGGACCTGGGGTATACAGGCAACAAGCTTCCCTGATGATTCCAAAGCTCCAGTGAGTTTGGGAAGTCCCTGATGCTAAAGATCTCCACAGAGTCCGTACTGCTGTAAGAATCTGGGATTTTCAGAGACTATACATGAGCGCCCACATTGATGTTCTTACAATGTGCTCATGCCAAATAAAGGGTGTCGCCAAGCCCTGTCTTTTTGTGGTAGTCTGTGAAGACTGAAGTTGGAGGCCAAGTCTGGCTGCCTCACGGGACATTGTGCTCTAGAGCCATTGGTCTTAGTGCTTGTGTGAAGACCAAAGAATGGCAGCAGGCTGGTGGCCCCAGGGATCTGTGTGCTCTGTGGGAGGCTGCAGATAGCAAGCCATGCTGGGACCGTCAGGGACTGCTCTGTGCTCATTCACTGGATTGCTCATTCATTTAGTTGTCAAATGTTAGATGCCTACAATGTGTCATTCTTTAAAAAAATGTATTTGTGTGTGTGTGTGTGTGTGTGTGTAGGGCAGAGAACAGCGATTCTCTCCTTCCACCCTGGGGGTCCTAGGAATCAGCCTCGACAGCAAGCCCCTGTATCTGTTGAACCACTGCACCGCCCCTCCTAGATACTCCTTCAGACGGTGTGGGAACACAACAGTCTCTGAGCTCATAAACTGCCAGGCTGAGAGAGTCGGGGGAAAGGGGTGATAAAGTAGGCAAGGAAATAGAGGGGGACGGTGCTGCAGTGGGCAAGTGAAGGGGAAGAGAAGAGGGAGAGAAAGAGGGGGAGGGAGAGCAGTGAGACGAGAGGTTGCGTGGATGGGAAAGCAGGGTAAACCTCTCTAAAGAGGTGACTTGCTGGGCAGCCCAGAGGATCCTCAGAACACAGCGAACACACAGATCTTTAGTGAGACAAGTGAAGGGAAGAAATGAGAGGGGAATGAGTGAGGGAAAGTTTGGAGGTGAAAGAACAATAGGAAGGGATACGGAAGATGTTAATCACGGAGCATTCTGCCTGGAAGGCGCTGTAGTGCTCTCAACCATTAGTTCTGTGGCTCTCAGACTGCAGAACAGAGGACTGAGTCAAATCCCAGCCTGGTGGCCAATGTGCACTGGGCTTTAAGCCAATCCCTTTCTCTCCTATGCCTTAGATCCCTTATCCAGTCAGACCTGGCCTTCCAGATCCAGGAACTGGCTATCCAGGTATAACAAGAAAATGGTCCCTGTAACAAGTCCCTTGGAAGGCCATGTCCCCAAATCTCACAGGTAGCCTCAGCATGCTAGGCAGTATGGTCTCCTTATGTACCATGACTAGGTTCCCAGATGCAACCCTCAGACATGACAGCTGTGGGGTATGGACAGGCAAGGAAGCATTAATGATTGGCCCGTGTTACTGGCCACCCATCACTGCTCTCAGAGAATGCTCCGAGCCCCAGCCAGGGAGGTTTGGGTGGGAAATGGAGGTTAACAATTGCTCAGCTTGGGGGTATCTTGTTGTCCAGCTAAGTTCCTGGGAAGGAACAGGGGGGGTTAAACATTAATTCAGGCTCTCCAGCAGAGGGACAGGGCTGAAGCACGAGGAGGAGTGGGAGAAGGCAGGGGCAGCTTGGACACGATCCCTGACTGTCAGCGCTCCAAAGGAGAGATGTGTGTCTGAGTCCAGATCAAGAGAAGGCCAAGGAGCAGACAAGCCAGTGTTGACCTAGAGTGCCTCATGGTGTTTTTAATAGGTGTTTAAAGAGGCATGGGAGGACCGGATTCTGCAGAGAGGAACAACCACGGGACTGCACAACTTTTCGGAAGCACCGAGACTGTATGCCACAGGTGTGGTGGCCCACACCTTTAATCCCAGCATGCGGGAGGCAGAGGCAGGCGGATCTCTGTGAGTTTGAGACCAGCCTGGGCTACACAGAGAAACCCTGTCTCAAATGGAAAAACAATCCCCAAACAAATAATAGCAAGACTCAAGATGCTGCAATATCAAACTCATGGGCAAAGAGCTGGGGCTTTCATTGTCGGGAAGGCGAGTGATCCCTCCCCCTTATCCAGGCAGGGAAGATGTCCGGGGAGGCCAAGGGGAGTGTGTATTGGGAGCCATTGGATGGGGCATTTCAGAAACTCATCCATCCAAAGATGCGCACAGCTCTCCTACCCCCTGCACTTCCCCGCCCTCGACTCATTTTGGGACTCTGGAGAAGGTGCCTTGGAATATACAACGCTGACAGACCATGTTGGGGAAAAGCAGGAGACATCACACTGGGGCGGGCAGTGGAGTGCAGCTGAAATGCTGTTGCACCATCCTGGACTTTTCAAACAAGAACGGCCCCAGTTCTGACAACACTCCAGAGAGATAACTTCCACTTGGTAGATAAGAACACTGGGCCTTGGAGCAAAGTAATTCGCCCAAAATCTCCCAGAGCTTAGGCCAAATCTCCTGATCCCCGGTTTCAGATCCCTGTCAGCACCTCCAGGAATGCTGAATGATGCGCTGGTTCAGAGTCTGAACTTTGGATCCTCCCTGGCTGGTTCTAATCCCGGTTATGTTGGTTACTGGCTGTGTGACCTTGAGTAATTTACTTAACCTCTCTGTGCCCCGGTTTCCTCACCTGGAAGATGGGAAACATTCCTACTTAATAGCCCTTAGGGGGACTGAGTTAATATTTGTAGAGTGACTTAAATAGTTCTGGGAGCACATGAGTGCTATACATTTCATTGAATCAAATCATATCAGCTCAAGGTTATGTCTTTGGTAGGTCAACTGGACTCTGATGGCCCAGTGTCTACCTCTGCTCCCAGCACATGTGGCCTTACCTGGTCATCCAGAAGGAGCTCACAGAAGGCTGGGATGTACTTGGCCCACTCGACCAGAACCAGCAGCTGTTCCTTCATGGACTCACACACGTCTGTAATGTTGGCGATCTTCTTGGCCCGAATGTCGCCATTGATCCCAGAGATGGGAGAGGTGATCTGTGGGAGACAAGAAAATGCTGGGGATGGCAGGTTTTCCCTGAACTTCCTGTCCTTTGCACAGAGCCCATTCCCTAGGAAGTACCCTGTCTGTAACAGCTGGGCGTCATGTACTGCCAGGTCAGTAGGAAGCTCTGAGCACAGGGGCAGGGAGGACTCAGAAGCTGGGAGCACTCTGTTTGAACCATCCCCCACTGCCTACCCTGCTGCTTTCTCTTCTAGCTCCTCTGAGTCTCAGTAACTCCTTGGGTGTAAAAGAGGAAAAAGGCATCACCCTCAGCTCATATGTGAGGTCACCATGGCCCAGAGAGGCACTGTGACTTGCCTGAGGTCACGCAGCCAGAGGTTGCCTAAGCCCATTTGCTACCATGTTGCAATGATTACTTCTTTTTGGTTGGACTGCTCTTGAGCCCTCAAGGAGAGTAATTTGTGTGGCCTGTGAACAGGCCACTGAGATGAACTAGACAGTGCCCCCAGGGTGCCACACCTAGGCTCAAGTTCTATTTGTCACAAAACCAGTGTGCGGCATTGGGTTCAGTTTTCCTTCTTCGGTATCTGTGGCCTTTTCCGTGTGGGGCTCCAGGGTTTGGCAGGAGGAGGCTGAGGTAGAAGAAGTGAGGTCCCCCTGAAAGGGAGCCCGGGTAGGTGAGAGGGTCCCTTGGTACCTGCTGAGACAGGACCTCCGCCTGCAGGAGCGCATTGATGGACGGCAGGCTGCTGTCTTCGTAGCTTGACCTCCGCGTGCTGATCCGGTCCCGTTCATTTTGGACGGCTATGCGGAGGCAGAGAGAGGTAAGGAGGAGCACTGAGAGGAGGGAAGATGTTCCACTACACTTAAGGAGTTGGGAGATGTGGGAGGAGAAGGTTCAACCTGGACTGGGGCCGTCAGAGTGCTGCCGGTGGACATTTACCGTGTGTGTGTGTGTGTGTGTGTGTGTGTGTGTGTGTGTGTGTGTGTGTGTTTGAGCACGCATGTGCCATGGTGTGTGTGTGTAAGTCTGAGGACAAATTGTAGGCACTGGTTCTTTCTTTCTACCACGTGGGTCCCAGGAATGACCAAATTCAGGTTGTTGTCAGACTTGGTGGCAGATGTCCCACTGAGTCATTTTGCCTGTCACACGGGGGATCTCCTAACTCAGTTTGCAAAGCTTGTCACACACCAAAACATCCCACCTGCCCTATGTACAATAAGAAGGCTGAAGGAATGACAGGCCACCACCAGGGGCCGGTGAGTGATAACTCAGTGGAGAGCAGACCACAGTTTGAGCAGTACAGTGAGCATCTGCCACCATCCCGGATTCATGATCTCTGCCTGCAAGCCACTTCCCTTCCAAGCAAGCAATTCTTTTCTCCTGGTGACACAGAGATGACCCTGAGATTCCTGAATGCCAGACAGAAGTCCTGGGTTGGAACCTGGAGACCCAGCTGCCTTAGTGGACTGTCTGCTGGGAGGAACCCTGCTCTCTAGACTAACCTGGGATAAGAGGGGAAGGCAGTCTCTTTCCTTCCCACACCAGGAGCTCTCCAGAATCCAAGGACCAACGGCCTTGCCTCCCAGACCTCCAGCCACCATCCACCCCTGGCCAAGTGAGTACAGGCCTGAAGTATCAGACATCCTTTCACTGTCCCTCCTGTCCCCTGGAGTCTAAGGGGCCTCACTCACTGTGGAAGGAAGAGGAGGGCACGTGAGGCTGCAGAGTTCTCACTCTGTGATGACTAGAAAACCTTCCCCAGTCTCCCCATCTGTCTGAAACTCCGACCCCTCAGCCTGCTTCCTGCCTGTCTTCCATCTTGGGAACTGCAAGCAGTGTCTTCCCTGCACACAGACCCCCCCACTGGTTTATGGGTACACACACAGACCCCGACACTGGTTCAGGGGGATGCACACAGACCCCTACATTGGTTTATGGGTACACACACAGACACTCCCACACCCCCACACACACTGGTCCAGGGGATGCACACAGACCCCCCACACTGGTTCAGGGGGACGCACACAGACCCCCCCACTGGTCCAGGGGATGCACACAGACCCCACACACACACTGGTTCAGGGGGATGCACACAGACCCCACACACACACTGGTCCAGGGGATGCACACAGACCCCACACACACACTGGTTCAGGGGGATGCACACAGACCCCCCCACACTGGTTCAGGGGATGCACACAGACCCCCCCACACTGGTTCAGGGGATGCACACAGACACCCCCACATACACACTGGTTCAGAGTGACCTACTGTGATGCTCATCACACAGAAGACTGTGTTCTGCTCCCAGAGGCCCCACCACTCTCCCACGGGCTGGACCAGGCCCTCCTAGAGGTCCTGAGACCCGAGGCTCCTGGCTTTACCTTTGGGGTTGAACTGTTCTCAGGGGTCCCCCTAAACACATCCAGGTTGCAGATCACATTCTGCTCAGAATGGAGGTCCCACCATCCCATCAGGCTCCTTTGGACCCCTCCCCATCTCCCCATTACTATGTCCCTTTCACTCAGTCTGTTCCTGACACCTGCCTCTCCCTCTGTCTAGGTATCCACACAGACCACGAGTGTGCTCGGGGCCTTTGCCCAGCCATTCCTGATGCCTCATACCCCGTTTTCCATCACCTTCAATGGTTGGAGAATGACTCAGTGGTTAAGAGCACGTACTACTCCAGGACCTGAGTTTGGTTCCCAGAATTCGTATCAGATAGCTCACAAATGCTCTGCAGGAATCTGCACTCAAGTCTATGTCTGTAGACACACAATTAAAAATAAAGCAAGTCTTTAAAAGATAATGTCACCAGGCTAGCCTGGTCTGCATAGAGAGCTCCAGGACAGCCAGGGGGTATACAGAGAAACCCTGTCCCCCCAAAAAAGTTACCTCAGATGCTTTTTCAACCTCCTCTGACATAGCATAGTGCCCTAGGCTCTGCCCTCTTCTCCTGTTTGAAATTTCCCCGAGGTATCTATTGTAGCATTATTTGCTTAATTCTTTATTATCTAGCTCCAAAGCTCCCAAAAGCCAGACCTTCCTCTCTCTCTCTCTCTGTCACCCTGGCCACTAAAGCATATCCTGACACATAGTAGGTATGCAGTATATATGTGTGGAATGCAGATGTCACTGGATAAGACAGCATATGACTTCAAGGGACACTGACATTCCACTCTTCAGCTTCCTCTTGGTTTCAGAATGTTGAAATCTAGAGCCAGGAGTAGTGGCCTGTGCCTGTAATCCCATCATTTGGGAGACTGAGGCAGGAGGATATGGCAGCTTGGATCATAGATTTTGGGGCCTAGAAAGATGGCATAGTTGATGAGACAATGTATCACCACAGAGGATGCGAGTTGGTTCCCAGCACCCCCATCGTGGAGCTCACAGGCACCTGTAACTCCAGTTCCAGGGGATCCAACACCCTCTTCTTCCTTCTGAGTGTGTCTACTCGTTCCTGTGTGCACACACACACACACTCACACACACACACACACTAATAATTAATAACAGTAACAATAAATCTAAAAAAGAAAAGGAGAGAGAAAAGTGAGACTTTGTCACAAAAACGCAGAGACAGAAAAGTCAGGCAGCGTAGGACAGAAACCCCGAGGTATAGAAGCCCCCCCCCCCGCATGCTGCATCGGTTGTACCAGCCCGCCACACCCCTCCCTGGCAACGCAGCCTGCCCTGTCGCCTGCCCCCACTGGGCGCTGTGGGGAGGCGGGTGGAATGAAAGACTGTTGTCAGCAGCTGTGGGGAGAGCTCCTCAAGGTTAGCGTGGCCTTATCAGCGCCTGAGCGAGTTCAGTCACGGAATGATGTTTTCCTAATGTTTGCGCAGTATTAGCAGGGTCGGGGACCTAATGTAACTTCCATTGAATATTAACCGGCAGGACAGAGGCGGAGAGGACATGAGCCTGGCTTCCTAGAGAGCCCTGGGTGGGCCTGGGGGCTGAGCTGGGTTTGTGAGAAGGTCCTACAGGATGGGCCATGCTCCTACTGCACTTTTCGGTCTCTTTCTGATGCCAGGAGCTGGGCACTTTTGTCCTGGGTGTCCCTCTCCCTGACTTTAGCCACAGGACAGAATTTTCCACCAGCTGTTTGCTTGTTCGATAACACCCCCAGGCTCCCCCATCCCCAGTATTTGCCCTCCAGAGATGCCTCTGTGGCTTATCCTCTGCCCAGGATGGGCTCCAGGGCCTGTGAGACCTGGAGCTCTCTGTGTGCCGGGAGGTTTCATCACCAAGAACAGAATGTGCCACCCTAAGTGAATCTTTCCAAATTTCAGTCCAGAGAGCTTGAGGCTTCATTCTCATAACCTTGAGTCGTAAGTCTCTCCCCACCCCAACCCTTCGTATCACCTCTCTTGCCTCAGTTTTCCCACCTGAGAATTGGGTTGATCTTCCTTTACTAGCCCTAGCTGTTCTGGAAAACCTGTTTGCAGCAGGAGCAGGTGACAGGAAAAATAAGTGAAAAACATGTCCCTAGTCCCCCGGTCAGTGGCTTTGGGATCTTTCTGTTAGGTTGAGAACAGACAGGTACTGGAGATGCTATGACTTAGGCAGAGTGAGCAATATCTTTCCTAGGGCTTGCCCATGGCGGCCCAGAATGCTCTGCTCTCCTGGTCTAATTGTACCGCACAATCCCTCAATAATGCAAGTGTGTGTATGAACACACACACACACACACACATACACACACGTACATGCACACACACATGTACATGCACACAAACGTACATGCACATACACACACGTACATGCACACACAAATGTATATGCACATACACACACACACACACACACACACACACACACACACACACAGGAGCATTTACTGGCCACAGCACTCTCTGTCGGTGACTCAGTGGCCTTCCTGTCCTCCTGACAGGCTTATTTCCTAGCCCAAGAAGCAAGCAATTCAGTTCAAGGCTGAGCTAAGGCTCGATGGGTGGAGCTCCTCTTCTCTTGGGAGCTGGGGTCTAGGGTCACTTGGCTCTGTGGATCACTGAGTGGCTGGAAGCCTCCCTCAGTTTCCCCCTCAGAAACTGCTTAACAAGAGACACATGACCATATGCAGACCTACTGGGTGGCCATCTGCCCCATTGGGCTGTCTGCTTTTCTCCCATGTGCTGATCATTCTACAGGAGAGGCGCATTCCCAAACACAATGTCCTGTGGGCAGCCATTGTGCTTAGTGTCACGGGACCGGAAAACAGAGCCAGCTACCAGACTGAAGAGCACGAGGCCCTTAGGCTGCAGTCATTCATCATGTCATTCATACATGCACCGTGATCCCCTTCCACAGAGCAGTCAGTCCTCAATGAGAAGATGAGATGATCCCGGGAGTTGCCCATGGGAAGCAGCAGGGGAAGAGGGGGGCATAGGCCCTGCCCCCATCAGAGAAGCAGAGGCCTGACAGAACATGGTGTGTGTGGTAGGGTCCTTGGGCTCTAGTTTTCCAACAGAACTCCTGAACTTGCACTGAGGACCTGCAAGGATCCTGTGAGGGGCAGACAGTAAGAATAATCTCAGAACGGGAGAGCCGAGCCTGGGAAGGGAGGCTGTCACACTTAGCTCGCCTTCTGTCTTGCTCAGCGCAGGATAGGCTGGGTCCCAGGGTGTGTGTGTGTGTGTGTGTGTGTGTGTGTGTGTGTGTGTGTAGAGAGAGTGTGTGTGAGTGTGAGTATGTATGTGTGTGAGTGAGTGTGTAGTGTGTGTGAGTATGTGTGTGAGTGTGTGTGTGAGTGTGTGTGTGTGTTCCCACAGGACTAGATGGAGGGTCTGGTCAGAAGAGCACAGTATAGGCTGAAAGGAAATGTTAACAGGGAAAAGTGAGCTGAGAGAAGAGAAGAGATTTGGAAATGAACTCAAGTTATTTAGAAAAAAAGTTTAAAGTTTTTAGAAATTTTGTGACCTTAAGAGGAAAATAACTCTTTCCCCCCTCTCTTCCCTTTTCTCTCCCCCCTTGTCACCATGTCTCTGTGTCTCTGTCTCTATTTGTCTCTCTCTTCCCTCTTCTCCCTCCTTTTCACCATGTCTCTGTTTGTCTCTGTCTCTCTATCTCTGCCTGTCTCTCTGTCTCTGTCTCTCTGTCTCTCTCTGTCTCTGTCTCTCTTTCTCTGTTTTGTAGGCTGGCCCAGGGCCCTGCGTGTTTGCCAGGCAATGGCTCTACCACCATGCTACAGTTCTGGCCACTGAAAACAATTCCTAAATGAGGCCTGGAGGGCACAGTGTAGGCAGCACTGAGGTGTCCAAACTGTATGAACCTGGGCTTGGGACCTCTGCTCTTCCAGTAACTGCCATGGGAGCTTCAGCAAGGTGACTGACCACTGTGGTCCTCAGTTCCTTCTGGCATGAAAGGGGGACAGTGCTCATTCCAGCCTCCCAGAGCTGTCACAGGACTGAGAGAGGGAGAGCCGCTGAGGAAGAGCCAGCTCCATGTCTGACGGCAGGACCTGACTGGGGCAGACTTAGACTGTGTTCTGAAACTGCATGGAAAGGGAAAATTCTAGAGACTGCCTAACACCCAGGAAGGAGGGCTAAAGGAATTGGGGTGCTTGTCCTTGGGCAGGACGCCTAGAATAGGATGATCCTCTGGTCGAATTTGTGAAATCTTGGTGGCCGGTGCTTGGGTGTTTACCATGTGGTGTTCTATGCTTCTCCTAATGCTTTCAGTATCCATTAGGAAAAGCATCCATCTTGGCTGCCTCACGACCCAGCGGCAGTTGCTGGGAGCTGGAGTGAGTGAGTGGGAGCTTTATCTCTGAATCTTTCTCAAGACCCAGCCCAGCCACTCCCTGTGGCCAGATCCCCAGGCCCTCCCTCCTCTCAGCCATTAGCCAGTCACCCCAGGGCCTGTCGCGGAGCCATAAAGTACTGCTCGAGTTGTAAATGCCGGGTTGGTTGGAGCCGGGGTGCAGGTGGGGCAGGGGTGTAGGGAGGGCTGAGGCTCACCTTCCTTCTTCATGCCAGCCCGGAAGCACTTCTTGAGTCTGCAGTAGCGGCACTGGTTCCTCTTATCTTTGTCCACTACACACTGCCGGCTAAACCTGGAGAGGACGTGGGGTGGTAGGATGGAGAAACTGCAGCCTCCCCCTCTTAGGGCAAGATGAGGACCCTGGCTGCTTCTGACCCTGACCCAGCTCCCAGCTTCCCTGCTCCGTCTCTGCACCCCTAGAGTTCTAATGTTAAATCCGTCAGAAGCCAAAGGGGTCTACAGACTGTCTGAAAGTCCAATTTGTCCCACTCAACACAGGAAATAGAAGCCCAGAAAGGTGACATGTGACGTTGATCACTCAGATGACTGTCAGTGGAGATGGGTTAGAAAACATTATTCTCTTGGATACCAGAGCGTAGTTATTCCCATCACATCCTATGAGAGCCCACAGCACAAAGTAGGTTACTGGTTATGTCTTAAGAGTCAGTAGTTGGCTCACAAAGGGTAAAGGCCAGGTTATGGGGGAGGGATGGGTTCCAACACTGACTCCACTACTCAACGGGTAAATTCCTAGCTCTCCAAGACATAGCTTCCTCATTTACAAAATGAGGATAATAACTGTGACCACTGTGTCAGGACATTGATGGGGGCAATGAGATATTACAGGCCTGGCATGGGACTCAGCCAACCACTGCTAATATTTTACTGTTGTTATCTAAAATGGGAGATGTTTTTGAAAGGGATTTTCAGAATCTTGGGGGGGCGGTCACAGGGATAAGTGGAAAGACTTAGGGCCAATGCTTTGTTGGAACCCAGAAAAAGAAGCAGGTTGAAGAGCTGGTCCTATCCTCTCTCAGGTTGGGAGGCTACCTGGATCCACAGGTGCTAAGAAACCATCTTTGAAGGTCTGGAAGGGCAGATGCCTCAAGAGGGACCCTTAGAGGACATGAATCCCAACACACCCATGTCCCAGCTGGGTAAGTGGAGGCCCAAGCTGGCTCCTCACCTGCAGGAGTACATGTGGTTCTTCCTCACACTCCTCCTGAAGAATCCCTTGCAGCCGTCACAGCTCGAGGCTCCGTAATGTTTGCCCGTGGCCCGGTCTCCACAGATGGCACACAGGGCACTGACACCCAAGCTGTTGGATGAGTTGAGGTTGGCACCTTCAGACGGGGATGTGTCTGCACCAAAAGAGAGTGAGTGATAACCCAGGGGGGACAGAGAGTAAGGGGAAAAGCCCCTCCATCCTTCTGTTCTCAGAGCCTCTTGATTTTGGAGTCTCAGTTTCCAGCCTATATAAATCAGAACCAACAGCTGATCTCTTGGGGGCGCCTACAAGGACTTACTTCCCCACAGAGAAGGAAGCTATGCTCCAGCTGCCTCAGGAAGGAGCGAAACCTGGCCACCACTTAGCGTCAGCCACTTTCAGACTACAAGTTGGGAGCTTCAGAAAGGACAGCAACTACCCCAGCTTCTTCCTTATCAGAACTAGACCAGGAGCACCTGAGCTTAGCCCAAGACTCCACAGACTCTCCCAAGGAGGGGAAAGGTATACACCAAGAACATTCTTTCCTTTGCCCTGGGGCTGGGTGCTGACCACAGCCATCTCCCCATGAGAGTATGAGGACACTCAAGAACTCTGGTAGAGAAGGTTTCAGCTCGTGTGCCATGAGTCCTGGGCATTTGTACCTGTGCTGCCCTAGCTGCTTTCTGGTCTTGGGCCAGCTCCTTTTCCCAGCTCCAGTTTCCCCTTGGCCTCGATTTCCCCAACTATAAAAGGGATTAGTTTAACTGGTCTGGTTAGTTTTAGATTAAAGAAAAAAGAGTCAGCAGAAGATCTCTCTTTTTCTAAGGGCAAATCTTCCACCACAGATAAACTCTTTAAGAAATCTCTTCACAGGGGAGGTAAAAACAGGAGGGCTGAGAGCCCAGTGCTAGTCTCAGCTACACAGTAAGTTGGAGATCAGTCTGGCTACTTGAGACATTGTCTCAAAAAAGATGATAAACTCTATAATAATCCCCCCAAACAAAAGTTCATGCATGTTCACAACACCACACACACACCACACACACACACACACACACACACACCCCACACACACACAGGAGGAGGGGGCCTTTTCTATAGAGATTCTGCATATGACCTTGGATTCCTAGAGGAATGTTCTGTTGCAAACGGGAGAGGGCTGCAGTATGCTTAAGCATAGACTCTGAGGCTGTGTAGCATAGGCTCAAGTCCCCACTGGTCCTGTGGCACTGGGTTATTTTTTGTTGTCTCCCCCCCTTAGCAGATGGAGCCTAACCATCTCCTCAAGCTCTTCATAGGTTCAGTAAGTCTGCTGGAAGTGCTAGGCATATAGTAGGTTCTAGATCTGCGTCTGCAAACTAAACGCTTCCCTGTAGAAGAGAGCTCTCCCAAGAGGCATCTTGCAGCTGCTTCCTCATTTCTGCTGCCTCCTGGCTGAACCCTGCCTGGGACTCCTGAATGTTCACAGTGGAGCCCCCTCCAGCTGTGAATTATTCCCAAGGCAGGGATAATTGTTAAGCTTCCTTGGTGCCCTTTCTCCCTCAGCCTCTCCTCCCTCGACCCCCGGAGAGAGCTGAGCCCGCAACTCCGGACAGGGCCTGGCAAACTGTCCTCTTGCTGGGCAGCCGGGGTTGGGCATAGTTAGCCGGATCATCTCCCCTGAGGTCAGCAGGGCCACTTCCATTTCCCGGTTAAGAAGACTGAGGCTCGGAGAGAAAAGGGACTTGCCAAGTGTCATTACTCTGCTGCCAGCAGAGGGGGCTGGGCTTATGGGGTGATGTGCTGTGCTCCGCCGTGCTGCCCACGCCTGGGTATCTGTGAGGACCCTTCTGCTACTGTTTCTGAATTGGGGACAGGAGGTGGGAGCAGATATCCTTAGAACCTTCTAGCCTAAGCTCAGGATGGACCCCAGTCACTTTGGAGGACAACCTCCTATAACCCCAGCTCCAACAGGGCATACAGACCCTCCTATCATATGCAGAGTCCTAGAGACCACCCATGTTGAAACCAGGATCAAATACCAGGAAAAACTCTTGTAAACCTTATACTATGTCCTACCTGTCTCCATCTTACAGATAAAGAGACTGAGGCTGGGGAGGAAGGGTTTTTCCAGAGCTGGGGGTGATTGATGTGTCCTCAGGACACATAAGGGCTTGGCTGCAGGTACAGGAACACAGGACTCCTAGGTACTGAAGGGGCTGTGTGGTGACTGCGAGTGTGACAGCATGTGCTGTCCCTGTGGGGGTCACATGACACCATCTCTGGGCAGAAGCAACTTGTTCACCACTTCTAGTATGTTTTTTCCTGAGCACCTCCTCTGAGCTGTCCATCCTTCTGAAAGCTTTTGGCCAACAGGGCTGGAGTAAAGGAACCCATTTTCATACTGCACAAGAGACAGAGGAGGGGGTAATGTGCCCAAGGACACACCGTACACAGCAAGAGATATTAGGGGTGGGCAATTGCGGGACTGACCATGGACAGAGCCCACACGCTGCCTCCTCTTTCTAGCTAGATTGAGAGCAAAGCTTCCCAGACGTAAGCCTTGTAGCCTGACATCTGCTGTACAGTCAGGGCCACGGATGGAAGGTGGTGGCAGGCCAGCCTCAGCCAGGTGCCATCTCTCCAAGGCTAGTCTGGAACCTGGTCCCCTCCCTCTCAGGAGCGCCCCATTCCCCAGGAAGTCTACCTTCTCAAACCCCTGGCAAAGGAAAACCATTACCCTCTACAAACATATTCTCAGAGCTATTGCAGCAGATTGTGAACTGGGGTGACACACAGTGACCACAGAATTGGCTCAGAGACAAACACACACGTTACTGATGTGAATCTCAATGTCGGGTATATAGCAAGAATTAAGACCCTCACAACATAATCCTGGTGTTTTGGGAGGCTCGAGCAGAGGATCCCAAGTTCCAAGCCAGCCTAGGAATGTGTTCTCAGTTTCAAGCTAGCTCAGAACATATACTTTGCATAAAAACAACGAAACGAAACAAAAAGACAGCCAAATTAGGTGTGGTAATCCCAGTATTTGGGAGCAGGTGGGATCTCTGTGATTTTGAGGCCAGCTTGGTCTGTGTTGTGAGTTTCAGAACAGCCAGAGCTATGTAAAGACTCTGTCTCAAAATAAAATAAAACAAACAAAACCCTGTGCAATGGAGCCACACAACTGTGTGCATCCGAGAGCAATTCCCAACGGCACAGGGCTGTCTGCACATGCGCATATGGAAAATGCCATCCAGGACCACCAGGCAGGAAGCACAGGGTATGTCCACAAGTCCACATTCACAAACATGTTATAGGCCCAAGACCCACAGTCACAGACACTATACATACACACATATAAGCAAACAAGGAAAAAAATGCCCCTGGAGACACAACCACAGACCATTCAACAAACACATAGAGACGGAAACAGGACAGGAATTTAAAAGGGAGAACAAACATGCAGTTGTATTCTTGCATTTGCCATACCACCCATACACTTACATGGACACCTAGGACATGTGTGTAAACCACACTGCTGTGTTGGCTTTTTAGCTAGGAAGGCCAAAAAATCCCTGCCCCACAACCCCGAACTCCAGTTTCCCTGAAATGTAGCCATGCCTCCTGTCACCGTCTCTAGGAACAGGACAGAGGCCTGAAGACAGGACCATGTTGGGTGGGCTTTCTGCAGCTCCCCAGAGGAAGTTCACCATCATGGCCTGTTGCTGTAACCCTGGTGAGGAAGGCAGTGTGAGATCCCAGGACCTAAATAGGGAAGGTCTAGGGACAACTGTTTCTGTTGGAAATCCACCTGTATAGGCCTCCCTCACCCAGAATGCCTCTGGCCACAGTACGTGGGCCCACTTGCTCCCCCTGGCAACACCTGTACAAGCCTATAGGACCAACCTACAATTTTCTATATTTCTCCTCCCATCCCAAAGTTCAGTGTCAAAGACCCACTCCACACCTGGGCACAACTGCCCCCACCTACCATTGCCCATGGCCAACACCTGCACATTTTCAAACTCCAGGGTGGTGTAGGCTGGGTCCAGGGCGGCACTGTAGTCAGCCATATCCATGTCGACGAGGGTTTTAGAGAGTCGCATTCTCCCCTACCCACGGCTCAGCCCCCTGTCCTGCCCTGCCCAGGATGCCACCCAAGCCCCTGGGCTGAGCCCCAGCCCCCCGTCCCCGCCCTCTCCCTGCCTCCTCCCAAGTCCCTTCTCTGCCTTCTTCTGTTTCAAACTGTCCTCTGGGAGACTCAGCCTGGCGTCCTGGCCTAGCCTCTGCAGAGGGTGGAGGCTCTTGGGGAGGGGTGGGGGTTAATGGTTAATCACCCCCGTTGCTGGGTAGGCTGGGTGGAGCCGCAGGGATTTGGCTGTTTGTTGGTTTCTGACTGACACCTGGGGTGCTAATCACAACTGTGGGGCCCCAGCTCATTAATATTCAGTTACCAATATTCCAAGGCAGACACCTAACAGAGATGGCATTTGCTGGACCCTTACCTCAGCAGCCCCCAAGCCAGTGTCCCTCCAAGCTGGAGATCCCAGCTGACATACTTAGACACTGACACGTCTGCCGCCAAGAAGTCCTAAGTCAACCGCTTCCCAAGTCATTGACTTCCGTCCTGGACGCTGTGGCAGAGATAAAGCTGTCCCAAGGCCCTCAAACTGGGAATCTGAACCCCAGGCCCACACTTTGTGTCTTTTGAATCCTTCCGGCCGCCTTCCTGGTTCTCACCTGGCCCCTGATAGCTCCCAGCTGCTCCAGCTGGCCCAGATACCAGGGATGGTCCCCTGCCACACTGAATGTTTCCACAGCCCCTGCCCCTCCCAAGACAGTCACAGTCAGATCTGTAGGCCCGAAGACCTAGGCTTATGATCAGGCACCTACCACCTGCTAACTGTGACCCTGGGTAAATGATTTCCTTCCAAGCCTCGGTTTCCCTCTCTATCAAATCTACAGTCAGTCTGAAAGAGTAGTTTGGGCATTACATGAGATATAAAAATGACTGTCAAGGTACCCTGGCAGTGACGCTCACATTTAGTCCCAGCTCTCGGGAGGCAGAGGCAGGCAGATTTCTGTGAGTTAGAGGCCAGTCTGGTCTACAGAGCAAGTTCCAGGACAGCCTCCAAAAGCTACACAGAGAAACCGTGTCGCAAAAAACAAACAAACAAACAAACAAACACACACACACACACACACACACACAAAAACAAACAAACCAAAAACCAAAGCTATGCTGGCCAGTGTCTCACCCCCAACCTATCATTTTTGTTCTGCTATGTAGCCAACACAGTGCTCAAATTCTTGATACTCCTGCCTCACCTCCCAAGAGCCAGAAAGAACAGGATGTGCCACCAGGGCCAGCTAATTCATCTTCTCCTTTTGTGTCCCCTTTTTGCCTCCCCGTTTCCCTCTGCCCAGTTCTTCCTGTTGGGGCAGGCTTCATGGATGTAACCTGCACAGTCACAGGGGAGCTCTGGGTTCAAAACGTCTCTGCATGGCTCAATACTCGTTCCAGACTTTAAAGCTGTTTTTTTTTTCAGATTAAAAAATGATTATCTGTATGACTGTTTTGCCTGCATGTTTATCTGTACACCACATGCATGCCTTGCGTCTGTGGAGGCCAGAAGAGAGTGTTGGACGCCCTGGAATTGAAGTTATAGACAGCTGTGAACCCCCGTGTGGGTGCTGAGAATTAAATCTGGTCCTCTAGAAGAGTAACTGCTGAGCCATCTCTCAGTTCTGCATCTTCTACAACCCCTCTTTCTAGCCATTTAAAACCTTTTTTTCATTTCATCAGCCACATCCTTTACGAGATTTGACTATGAGCCCCATGCACCTGTCCCCTTGTACTTTTGTTTGGGGTCTGAACAATTATGAGATCCCCCCTGTGTTCTGTCGCTGGCACCTTTTTTAAATGTTGTTTTTCAAGACAGGGTTTCTCTGTGTAACAACTCTGGCTGTCCTGGAACTTGCTCTGGTCTATAGACCAGGCTGGCCTTGAACTCACCACCGCCTCTGCTGACACTTTTAAAATTCCCACACTAGCTGAGGAGAGAAGGTCACTAAAGGCTGAGTGTGAGGGCAGCAGCTTTAGAAGCCTCAGGGCCTGTCTTGCTCAGCGCATTGGAAGGGTAATTCGGAGGGCCTGGTAATGACACAGAGCGGGAATGAGAGACGGAGGCTGCTTAGGAATGAGTGAATGAACTAGAGAGGTGAGGGACTAGGAGACCTGGTAAATTAATGTGTGGCGTTGAATGAATGAGTGAAGTTCATGAGTATGTAAAAGGGTGAACAAATGAGTAAGTGAATGAGTGAATGAACCAGAAAGGTGAGGGACTAGGAGACCTGGTAAATTAATGTGTGGCGTTGAATGAATGAGTGAAGTTCATGAGTATGTAAAAGGGTGAATGAATGAGTGAGTGAATGAGTGAATGGATGTGTGAGTTAGAGTAGGGCATGAGGATGTGCCTTCACACTACAGTGACACAACCATCAGACGCCTTCTTTCTGCACGATTAGCTCTATTATGCCCCCTGTCCCTAGTGAAAAGGTGTTGGGAGAGTGTGGGGGCAGTTGTGGGGAAGGAAGTGCCTTGGTTTAGAAACTCTCCCTGGCAGCCCACAAGATGGCTCAGCAGGTGAGGCACTTGCTCCCTGGCATCCCTGCTCCTGTCATGTATACCCGCACATGGATAAAAACAAATAGAAACCATTTTTGCCACTATTCAAATAGCTCTTCAGTTCACATCTCTTCTCCGGGCAACTCTCCCTTCCATTATAGCGGGGGAAGATCCTAGTCTCATCCTCCACTTCTTAGCTGAAGGGGAAGGAAAGATTGGAACCTGCAGCCTACACCTTGAGATCCCCAAAAGGTCTAACTCTGACTGAAGACACTTTCGGGTCCTCTCCAGTTCCATTTAGCAGCATCTGGTCCCAGAGATCCTGGGAGCAGGGCTGGGCTGGGAGGAAAGGAAGACATGTGACAGCCCATCCAGAGCTACTCCACAGCATTTAACATGTCTGCCCTGCTTGTGACTTGTTCCCCGGGAAGAGACACAATCCCACATCTCTACAAGTGGAATGTGATCGTTAGCAAGTCAGAGTTTTATTAGCTAACAAACTAACAACGCGTCTTTTTATAGATGAAAATGTAGGTGGACTCCATTAAATTCAGTCTGTGATCAGCTAGGGTTGTCCAGGACACACATGTATAGCCAGAGGCCTGCTGAAAGAACAAGAGAGCTCACATGAGAAGCACTGCCAGCTGCGCAGACCGTGGCAGGCATGGCGTGCCGCACATTCCACACCCGTGTCCCACCCTGCCACAACTCACCCACAGCAACCTACTCACCCATCAGTCATGGACTGCACAACTGTCTCATTCATAAGTCCCTCCACCTTCAGCTTATTCTGGGTGATACCCTCCCAGCAGCTCCCCTTCACCTAGACACGCCCCCTCTGTGATCTAACAGTCCTGGAGTCGGGACAAGCTAGTTTGAATCTAGAGTCTCTGTAAAATGGACCTAACCTTCGGGGTTGGCTGTTGTTTTTTGGTGACGACTGAGTGAGATCATGCTGTCACTTAGCTGTCCTCCCTCACTGTCTCCAGAGATCATGGAGTCCAGCATATGTGGGTCAAAATCTGTCACCTCGGATTTGTCTTCAGCGTCAGGAAAATGGAGTGGGTTCCTTCCCACAGATGGGTGGCTGAGGGAGTAAGTGACCAGGGCATAAGTCAGCCCTCCTGACCCACAGATTGTATATTCAAAGACAGACATTTTGGATGGGAAATAGTAGGAAAAAACATGTCTGAGCTAGGCGTGGTGGATATGCATGTAATCATAGTGCTTGAGAGGTAGGGGCAAAGGAGATGAGTTAAGACCAGCTTGGAATATATGAGACTTTGTCTGTACAACAACAACAGGCCTGGAGAGGTGGCTTAGCAGGAGTTTGCCTCACAAAACTGCTGGTCTGAGTTCAATTCCTGGAATCCACAGAAGGAGAACCAACACCTAAAGCAACGTGTTCTGACCTCCACAAGATCATGCCCACCCCCACCCCACCTCTCTATCTCTGCCCCTGCCTTCTGTCTCTCTCTACCCACGAACATAAATAATTTTTATTTAAAAACAATAAAAGAATCCTGGGGAGATGTCTCAGTGGGTAAAGTGCTTGTTGTACAAGCGTGAGGACCTGGGTTCAGATCCCCAGCACCCCCAGGAAAAACTGAGCATGTTGTTTCTGATCTCAGGAATAGGACGAGGACACAGGAGGCTCCCGAGGCTCACTGTCCAGCCAGCCTAACCAATCAGTGAGCCCCAGGCTCAATGAGACCTTGCATAAAAACAAAGTAGAAAGTGATAGAAGAAAACACCTGATGTCACCTCCACACGTACAGACATACACATGTATACACACATCCCACACATACATGTGCATGCAGCTGAATAAACCACAAACATGTGGACACACATAGTACCAAAATTACTATTATTGTTACTATTACTATATACCTATGTCAACATGTACAAATAGGGGATATTTGTTTATTCGATATGGGGTTTACTGTGTTACCCAACCTGGCCTTGAGCTCCTGGGGGCAAGCAATCCCCCTGCCTCCACCTCCTGGGAGTTGGAACACAGGCAAGCACCACATGTCTGACCATTGTATAGATTTTTTTCTTGTCATTACTCCTTAACTAATTTAACCTAACAATTAAAAACTAGTTACGTAGCACTCCCATGGTGGCATACATAATTGGAAGATGACTAAAAATACAGTGAGGTGTGTATAGGTCATATGCAAATGCAGCAGGCATTGATATAAAGTGCCTGAGTACCTGTGACTTTGGATATCTGAGGAGGGTACTGGGACCTCCCTCATAAATGCCCAGAGATACAATGTACAAACAGATTGTCATCAATGGTTGGGGACTCCTGGCCCCCTGGCCACATAATCTTTGGATCTCAGAACCCCTACTCTGGGGAGCTCCTAGGTAGGGCATTTTCCTGCCTGGATACCATCAGTGTGGAACTTGTTCATCAGCTCAAGGAGTAGCAGCCTCTGGAAGAGATAAATTTAAAGCTTGCCGGCAGGCCCAACCCCTTCAGCTTGAAGATGGAGACAGGGTGTGGGCAGGGAAGAGGGTGGTCCAGAGAGG